CTCGGAGCGGTGAGTAAGGCGTGCGGAGCCCAATGACACACGCTGTGGCTCTCCGTTACACGCGTGGGTTGGTCGGTGGGGGCTAAAATGCAAAAAAAGCAATGCGAGATGATGATGATGATGATGATGATGAGGCAGACGGCGCTCGGATGGGTGTTTGGGATGGAAAAGGCGGATTCTCATCGCTGTTTGTGTTGGGAAGTTGCGGCGAGCTGGTTTAGGCAGTGATGGAGCGGTGTGGGTTTTGGGCTTTTATCAAGGTGGAAGTAGTGCAAGGAAAATGAAATAGCTGGAGAAGTTAAATAAATTATGGAGGCTAATTAGCGCTGCAACATAGCTGCGGTATAGGAGCGAAGGCAAATCAATGTTGGATTGGGAGGAGAAGAAGAAATACTGCAAGAGTGCTGTGGATGGAGAGCAGCAACATGGCCAGGAGACCCTGCCCAGGCTGGAGCGTGGAATGATTCCTGCAAAATGCTAAAGGTTGTTGTTTTTCCTTATTTAATCTTCGGAATTTAATTTCCAGACCTGCGCCTGGGAACATCCGTTCCTAAGGCGTGAAAAAAACAGGAAAAAGGAGCTGGTGTAATAAGTGCCTTTTGGTGAGAATGTTTTTGAAGAGGATTTGCTGGGTACGGTCACATGAGGCTTTTTACTGTGTGGTGAGAGACACCTTAGATTATGGGCAGTTGGTGTGGAGGAATGTTTACTTATTAAATGCATGATAGACCTATGGTTGAATGAAGAAAATACAATATATTGCCATTGGCCATAATCAAAATCTCATTTTTTCGCTGCAAACAAACCGTTGGTGGAAAGACAGCAGCAATGCTTAGGCAAAGACTATCTTAGCCAGTTTGAGGTCTGTGGCTTTTAGGACTCTTGGGCTTCTAAGAAAATAAACAAACTAGAGTTGTGCTTCTTTTCTGTAGTGACTCATCCTCCACAGTGAAAGACTGTATTCCAAATTTACCCCAGTTCCATTGGAGTGGCAGGGTTGTATCCTGTTTGGATCTCTGCTGTGGCCATGGGATGTTGGAGCATGCCAGCCTGCAATGTAGAGTTGTAATTACTGTGTGAATTACTGCTTACATATTCAGGGTAGCTGGATGACTAATATAATTTTATAAAATAAACTCCTTATCAGTATTGATTGCCTTGTAGCAATTCCTCTCTTGTTCTCATCTTTCTGTCTTTTCCATCGGCTTTCCCATGATCCTGTGTGAGCTCCTGGGTTGTTTTAAATTTCAGGTTGCATGCACTAGATTTACTTTCAGCTAAACCTTTAGAAATACCAGTGATATATATGTTAATGTTGAGAAATCCATGAGCATACCTGTTATGTGCAGGGAATTTTTGCAAGATGAATTTTTTAATACATTACAGGCAAGCATCCCTAACTTCCTGCTTGCAAATTCTCGCTTATTAATATTAATGACCATAAATGCAAATGGTTGAAGGCCCAAATATGTATCATGCACAGCATTATGCACTGTTTACTCTTGAGTTTTGCAGGTGTAAGTTTATATGTAATTCCAGAAGAGCACTTTGATGCCAGGCCTGCTTGTGACACATTTATGTTATTTATGCTGTGTATTCATTAGTTTATAGTCTTGGATTTTGTTTCATTTCAGGATGCTTGTTAAAATTCATAGTAGTATATCTTACTTTTTTGTTAGACTGCAGAAGAAAAACAATAAGAGGGACGCCAGAAAAACTGGAACAACCCCTTGGTACATGAAAAACAAAAAAATGGACCTGTGACTCTCCAAAATTTGTGCATGGTTTTTCTCATTAGAAAAAGAGAAGGATTATGTCCTTTCTTATGTTTCATCAAGATTTCCCTTTTCTAGAGGTGGTTAAACATGAGATCAGCTGAGAGCCTGCTAACACCAGTAATCCCATATTATGCACTATTAAAAAAAAAAATCTTTTGCTTTGAAATTGTTTCAAAAGCAAAACCCTCGTTTCTTGTCCCTTTGATGTATAAACATTGATTCTTTCAACTTTTTGAGGATGAATTTTCTTTCGAGCACAATGGTTGTTTCCTTTGACAAGGTAATTTCCTTTGCCATCCAGACAGGCAGACGGCTTTGGGTGTTGTTTCTTGATGAGGTTAGGTGGATTTTAAGAAGCTGTGCTGAATCACTGCCCTGTTCTCCCACCCTCAGTGTTGTGTGCTGCGTTGAACTTTAGAGCAATGTTGTGTGAATGGCAGCTTTTGTTTATTTTGTGGAGTTAATTTCAGATCAACGAGCTGAACTTCACCTGTGGAGCCTGAAAGTGGCAGGAGGAGGATGCAGGGGTGGGAAATAGGGTGGCTGGGTTTGTCCTTTCTGAGCTCTCTGAATGGCTGATTCCAGTTGGGAATTTGTGTCTGGAGTGTTGCACAAAGCCTTAAAATGGCTCCTTTTGGTGTACAACAAGCGAGTGGTTTATATTTAATATTCCACAGATTCTCATAGATTTGCAGCCTTTGTTACGTCATTGGTTATAACCCTTGCAGTCAGCCTGATCGGTAATTTCAGGTTTTGTGCTTTGTTTCCAATGTGATAACAAGCGAGTGTACAACAAGCGAGTGGTTTATATTTAATATTCCACAGATCCTCATAGATTTGCAGCCTTTGTTGCATCACTGGTTATAACCCTTGCAGTCAGCCTGATGGGTAATTTCAGGTTTTGTGCTTTGTTTCCAATGTGATAACAAGCGAGTGTAGAACAAGCGAGTGGTTTATATTTAATATTCCACAGATTCTCATAGATTTGCAGCCTTTGTTGCGTCATTGGTTATAACCCTTGCAGTCAGCCTGATGGGTAATTTCAGGTTTTGTGCTTTGTTTCCAATGTGATAAAAGTGTGCCCACCTCTAGGAGTTCCTCCAGCACCCACAGGACTGTGAAGCTCTGTGGTGACACAGGACATGGTGACATTGCCACTGAGGGCTTTTGGAAGGTTACCATGGTCATCACTGGTAACAGAACTGGGCCCACTGGTTGTTTTTGACTCTTGTAATTCAAGTCTTTGACCAACACGTGGCCCTGTGTGAGGAAAATTCCGACTGTGAGGAAAATTAGCTCCAGCCAACCCAGAGTGGCACCTTCATTTTCACTGGAAAGTGGAGCACGTGCCTGTTGCACTCGCTGCAGATAAATTAGTGTGCTCGGAGCTCGCTGCACCTGGAAATACTTGATCCAGTGAACTGGGTCATTTGTCTCTGGCTTATTTGCCAGCTGGATTTTTATGAGCTTGGAAAAAAACTAAATTCTAGTTATGTTCCTTAGAATGGTTCCAGTCCCATTGTATGGGGCTAAAACGCAGTTGTTTGTTTTACGTTAATTTAAAAAGTGATTACTTTAAATGCAAACTCTACATTACTTAGAGGAAATAGCACTTGTTTGGTAGACTTATTTGAAAGGGAAAAACTGGGAATTTAGACCCTTGTGAAGCTGTCCCATCCCTGGGTTCCTCAAGTTTCTGCTTCAGCAGCCTGTGATGAAAGGATCTAGTTTAGCAAGGATGCTGGACACATTGAAGAGGAATTTGGCATGGAATTGCCTGTGGGATTCTGAGGAGAGAGCAGAAGTTCTTTTACTAGGTTGTGAATAAAGGTGCTGTATGTTCTGGGTGATCTGGTAGTGGGACTGTGGTGTTTCAGCTCCTCAGGAAGAGAAATCTTTTCAATAATCTGTTGAGTCCCCTGAGCAGCCTGGCTTTCTTCCTGGGTAGCATTTATTCCCTATCCTTCCAAAATTCATCAAATAACAGAATTTGTACCGTGGCATGAGAAACTCTTATCTTGAAAAATACTCTGTAAGAAAGCATTAATTAGTAATGATAAAACATAAAACTCCATCTTGAAAAATACTCTGTAAGAGAGCATTAATTAGTAATGATAAAACATAAAAAGTACCGTGTGCTTCTTTGACTCAGCTTTGGGTTTGTGCCATGTTGCATCATTATTTGATTTTGAAGGAATCATTACTTATTCATGGCTTTTATAAAATCTTTGTAATAGTTGGGTTTCTATGTATTCTGCATCAAGCAAACTTTGCTTTAAG